GGGGAGAAGGGGAAAGGAAAGACAAAATTCCTTTCTAAAATCAGAACTATGACAGATATATACCCTGTAGTAGCGAACCCCTATACCTTGTTAACCAAATTGACAGAGGAATTAGGGTGGTTTACAGTGCTTGATCTTAAAGATGCCTTTTTCTGCATTCCTGTGCACAAGGACAGCCAAGAGCTTTTTGCTTTTGAATGGGAAAATCCTGAGACAGGAAAAAGAACTCAACTTACATGGACTGTTTTACCGCAAGGCTATAAGAACAGCCCGACGATATTTGGAAACCAGCTGGCAAAAGAACTGGAGGACTGGAGAAGGCAGCAGCCGGAAGGACTTCTCCTGCAGTACGTAGATGACATACTAATTGCTGCTAAAAATCGGGAACAATGCATCCAGCTCACTGTAAGTCTTTTAAACTTTCTGGGACTAAGTGGGTATAGGGTTTCAAAAGGAAAAGCACAAATTGCAAAGGAAATAGTCATTTACCTGGGGCTTGAAATCTATCGTGGACATCGACAGCTCAGCACAGATCGGAAAGAAGCCATCTGCTGTCTCCCAGAGCCCCGCACTGTACGAGAAATGCAGGCTTTCCTAGGAATGGTGGGGTGGTGTTGCCTGTGGATAGCTGACTACGGGTTATTAGTCAAATCCCTATATGAAGCACTGAAAACGGCCAAGAAAGGAGTTATAACATGGACAGATGAGATCAGAGCTGCATTTAAGCAACTGAAACAGTCCTTAATGTCAGCTCCAGCATTGGGACTACCAGACCTAAGCAAACCCTTTGAACTGTTTACATATGAACAACTAAATGTTGCCCTGGGGGTACTGTCAAAGACCCTGGGTAACCAGCGAAGGGCTGTGGCCTACTTCTCCAAACAGCTAGACATTGTCAGCCAAGGATGGCCAGGGTGTTTGAGGGCTGTGGCAGCGACTGTTATCTTGATCCAAGAGGCCCGAAAACTTACCCTGGGACAGCGCATTGTTGTGTATGTACCCCATGCAGTCCAAGCTGTGCTTGAGCAAAAGGGGGGCCACTGGCTCTCCCCTAGCAGAATGCTTAAGTACCAAGCTGTGTTGTTGGAACAGGATGATGTTACCCTGAAAACAACATCTGTTGTGAATCCTGCCATGTTTCTGTCCGCAACATTGATTGACGATATGCCTGAACATGACTGTTTACAGACCATTGAGGAGACTTATTCCAGCAGACCAGACCTGAAGGATGAGCCTCTGGAAAACCCAGACTGGGAACTGTACACGGATGGAAGCAGCTTCATGTGGGATGGAAAACGGATGACAGGGTATGCAGTGACAACCAGGGATGAGGTAATTGAGGCAAAGGTTTTGCCTGCTGATGTGTCATCCCAAAAGGCAGAACTGATTGCACTGACAAGAGCTCTAGAACTGAGCGAAGGTAAGAAAGTGAATATCTGGACAGATTCTAAGTATGCATTCAGTGTGGTACATGCCCATGGAGCCATCTGGAAAGAGAGAGGGCTACTAACTGCCCAAGGCAGTGGGATTAAACATGCCGACCAAATCCATGCACTCCTTCAAAGTATCTGGAAGCCAGAAAAGGTATCTATCATGCACTGTAGGGCTCACCAGAAGGGGAAAACAATTCCCGAATTGGGAAATCATTTTGCTGACCAGGCTGCAAAAAGGGCTGCAGAAAAAGGCATTCTAGCAGTAGTTCCACAGAAAGAAATCGATTTGACAGGGTACACCCCAAAATATGATGAGAAGGACCTCCAATTAATTAAATCCCTTAAAGCTGAAATCAAAGAAAGTGGGTGGGTTGTTACACCAACAGGACAGGTTGTGGTCACACCCCCACTCCTAAGGGAAATAGCTCTACGGGAACATGAGGCTACCCACTAGGGAATAGAAAACCTTCTTAAACACCTAAAGAAGGTAGTGATAGGGACAGGTATGACTGAAGTCGTACAATCCATAGTGAGTAAGTGTGAAATCTGCCAGCAGAACAACCTGGATACAACCAAAAGGGTGGTGCTAGGAGTAACAAAGGCTGGGAACCTTCCCGGAGATTATTGGCAAATAGATTTTGCTGAGTTACCACCGAGGGAGGGGTACAAGTACATACTAGTGCTGGTTGACACTTTTAGTGGATGGCCTGAAGCTTACCCGTGTCGCACTAACACAGCAAGAGAAGTGGTGAAAGCTTTGCTTAATCACATAATTCCAAGATTTGGGGTTCCTCTGGGAATATCTTCAGACAGAGGGACACATTTCATTGCAGTGATTGTGAAGGAGGCGTGTCGTGTCCTGGGAATTGTTTGGGACCTCCACACTCCCTATAGACCTCAAGCAAGTGGCAAAGTCGAACGCATGAATGGTACTCTTAAAATGCAAATTGGTAAAATTTGTCAGGAAACATCCATGTCATGGGTTCAGGCTTTGCCCCTAGCTCTACTAAGGATTCGTATCCAGCCAAGGCAGAGGGATAACATAAGTCCTTATGAAATATTGTATGGAAGACCATACCAGGCTCCACACATTCCAGGGGACATTCACATGAGAGGAAAGATTGATTTACAAAAGTATTTGATTGCTTTAGGTTCTACTTTGCAGAAACTCCAGAAATTCGTTGAGCTTTCCAGGCCCATAGGATTGGACGCCCCTGCTCATCCATTCCAACCAGGAGACTGGGTCTACATCAAATGGTGGGACAGTGACCCGCTGCGAGCCAAGTGGAGAGGACCTTTCCAAGTCCTGCGACTTCCCTCACTGCTATTAAAGTTGCTGGCAAAGGACCATGGTTTCATTACTCCAGAGTGAAGAAAGCTTCAGTTCCTGGGACTATCAGCAAAGCAGAACCCGACTCAGAGGACGACGATGTGGCATAGACTGCTTTTACTGTACATATTAACTGTACAGTCGGTAACTATGAATCGAGTTTGGGATCCAAAATTGCATGTGGCTATAGTCCAAAATGTGTCCAAAATTCTCCGCAAAGATGACTGCTGGATTTGTACCCAAATACCAGCAATCGATGGTAAAGATGGCAGTTGGCCCCTTATTGGCATTTTACTAAACGAAACAAACTTTGGTAAGTCTATGTTAGAACTCCCAGGGACCTGGAAACCAGTTACTGGGGCCTACTATCCGGTAACCCTGAGTCATGTAATGTTTGACCAGGACAATTATACTGTCCCCTGCATGGTTGTTAATGCTACAGGAAAGATCATCCTCCCTCCTTACTGTGATAAAAACAAATCTACAGAAGAAATAGGCCCGGAAGTTGTAACAAGATTGGCACAAGTCCGCTTGAGACTAATTCCCCCCAATGGTTCAGGGTGGTACTGGATTTGTGGAAAAGAGGCTTGGAAAGTCTTGCCCCTTGATAAAGATCGGGCCTGTGCTCTAGGGGCTGTAATTCCAAACATAACAATCTTTGACCAAATTCATGAACAAGAGGAATGGGAGAGGACTTATCTGAAAATAATGAAAAGATCAAACAATCCCCTTATTGACCGTCCCACAGTCTTTCACAGTATAGTCAGAGCCATGATCCCATCTCTAGGGGTGAGTGAATTGGAAAAAGCAATAGTTAACATCTCAGCTGTAATCGACAACATTCAAGATCAGGCTTCAGATGCAATTTCAGCTCTACAAGAGGAAGTCCATAGTCTGTCTCGTGTAGTTCTACAAAACAGACTGGCTCTTAACATCTTGTTAGCCTCTCAGGGAGGCGTGTGTAAAGTTATCAACACCAGTTGCTCTTCTTCCATAGACCAAAGTGGAAGAATTAGTAACGATTTGGCTGCAATTCGGAATCAGACTAAAATCTTACATCAGGTGTCTCTGGACAATGTCTCACTGGGTCTGGGAGACACTCTCCACAAACTTACTTCATGGTTACCGAACTGGACCTGGATTAAACAACTGTTTCTATTGGTAGTGTACATAGTTAGTGTTTGTGTAATAGCTTATTGCATGAATCAATGTTGTAGATGTTGCTCGTCTTTTTGGAAAATGATTAGAAGTAAGTGGTAGAGATTGGACAAAATTTTTGAGTTTTGTCCAGTCTCTAAAGGGGGGACTGGTACCTTGGAGTGTTGATGTTTTGATTTTTTTAATTTTTGTAGATCTTAGAAGTAGTTATGTAGTAAAAGTAGATTTTAGAGTAGCAGCAATATTACCCTTTACCCTTAACACACCAGCTCAAACCCTTGTTACTCATTCCCATATCAATTCCCTAAATTCTTTAGCATATTTAGTCTCTTTTTTCAAGG